TTCTGGATGCGTAGTTTGTTTAATCGGATAAGATAACATCCAATGAAGATTTCTCTCTTCTGGGTTGTTGCGCCGCGTTGTTTGGTAGATGTCCACCAATGTTTCAGAAGTCATGGTGCCTCCGTCATCAGGGCAATTCATCGACCATACTACACAGCGTAACAACCCAGATCACACCAATCTTCATACTCACCGCTGTGAATACCTCAAATCCTACATAACTTAATATCAATATAACATTTATACATAGAAACATACCTGAGCTACATGGAAATTAACGGGACAAATAATACCGAGGATGTAACGAATGAAACCTAAAACCGCAATACCCGCAGTTCATGATATGAAGGCATGTCACAAAAATAAAGATGATGACAACTGAAATTGCAGTAATCTCCTTCCAGTTCTGTAAAATAAGAAGGAAAGTCTTTAAATACCATTTTGTTTATGAAGTTACATTAGCATCATCTCATCAGAATCAGGTAAGAACTTTATAAATCAGCATCAATTAGAAATCATAACAAAACTGCAAAATAACAAAATTAGATATTCACTTACCTTGACAAGCGACGAGCCGTGTTTGAAACTGGTGTATCTGCAAATTTTGGGCCAAGCTGAATGTAACAGAAGACCAGACAAAATTACGTAAAATGCTTCATACAAACGAGATGAGTCAAGATTTCCCAACTTCTCCTCTGAAATATTTTGTATTATTGGTGGTTCAATAACCACATAGCCATAGATTCTGAAGCATATAACAGCATACCCACACTGGGGAAGAAGGAACACAAGCATAGAATTAAAATCACCGAAGGATTAAGTGCATTAGACTGCATTGAAACAAAATAGACCATTAAAAGTTACTCTGTGAGTTATTTAATTGTTATTTAAATTATCCAAATGCATGAGTAACTTAAAAATGAACAGGATGAAAAGAAACTAGGTAGCAAGTAGCACATGCCTATTTATTCTAAGTTTAACAACTAATTAACTAACTAGATAGTTTATGGAACCCGACGGTTCATCACCGAATTAACTAAAGCCCTCTCCCGGGCCAACAAAATCCAGTCCCCTTCAACTTTTTCCCAATTCCCTTTTCTCAAACGCCTGAAATCTGTTTTCTTCCCTCAGAGTGAGAGACCATGGAAAGAAAGTGACATCTTTAATATCAGAACAGGAGTCTTACGTAGTTTGCAAATCACGTCTTTCAAACACCAATGAGCGTCTTAGAAATATGATTCTTGTATCATAAATATTAATGTCAGTATGAACTGGTTCAAGGCAATACTATTTTTATTCAATCTACATTATCTCAAGGTAGAGTAGAGAATCTCACCAGAAGAATGGGCAATGACAAGAATTCAAATGCAGAATCCACGCGGAGAATCACCCTATGTGATGCAGGATCCACGTATCTGTAATCTTTGACCACACAAATAACTATCCATTTTATGATGAAGAAAATAAAGAATGCTACGAACAGCCATTCACAGACTGCGACAAAGCAGTGATAAGCGGTCACACGTTGATGGAGCTGCACTGTGTTGCCGTAGTAAGATCTTGCAAGTCCTTCTTTTAGTGTGTACTCAATAAAAAGCCTGTTAATAAAGACAAAGAATTTCAGTAATCACCAATTGGTTAAGCTGTACTCTTGGGTGGCACTGACAAGATACCTTTCAGTTATAATTCTCTTGAATGTATTTAGGCCCATATTTAATATGGAACTTAAGATAAATTAAAGAATGACAATTACACAGTTTACCGTAAATGACAGGGGATTTCTTAACTAGCTAAGAAACTATTA